ATGGATGGATGGATGGATGGATGATGGATGGATGATGGATGGATGGATGGATGATGGAAGGATGATGGATGGATGATCGATGATGATGGATGGATGATGGATGGATGATGGATGATGGAAGGATGATGGATGGATGATTGATGATGATGGATGGATGATGGATGGATGATGGAAGGATGATGGATGGATGGATGATGGATGGATGGATGGATGGATGGATGATCGATGATGATGGATGGATGATGGATGGATGATGGATGATGGAAGGATGATGGATGGATGATTGATGATGATGGATGGATGATGGATGGATGATGGAAGGATGATGGATGGATGGATGATGGATGGATGGATGATGGATGGATGGATGATGGATGGATGATGGATGGATGGATGAATGATGGATGGATGGATGATGGATGGATGGATGGATGATGGATGGATGATGGATGGATGGATGGATGATGGATGGATGATGGATGGATGGATGGATGATGGATGATGGATGGATGATGGATGGCTGATGGATGGATGGATGAATGATGGATGGATGGATGATGGATGGATGGATGGATGATGGATGGATGATGGATGGATGGATGGATGGATGATGGATGGATGATGGATGGATGGATGATGGATGATGATGGATGGATGATAGAAGGATGATGGATGGATGGATGATGGATGGATGGATGGATGATGGATGGATGATGGATGGATGATGGATGGATGGATGGATGATGGATGGATGATGATGGATGGATGGATGATGGATGGATGATGGATGATGGATGATGGATGGATGATGGATGGATGATGATGGATGATGGATGGATGATGGATGTATGATGGATGATGATGGATGGATGGATGGATGATGGATGATGGAAGAATGATGGATGGATGGATGATGGATGGATGATGGATGGATGGATGATGGATGGATGATGGATGGATGGATGGATGGATGATGGATGGATGATGGAAGGATGATGGATGGATGGATGATGGATGGATGATGGATGGATGGATGGATGGATGATGGATGGATGGATGACGGATGGATGGATGGTGGATGAATGATGGATGAATGGATGATGGATGGATGGATGGTGGATGGATGGATGGATGGATGGATGAATGATGGATGGATGATGGATGGATGGATGACGGATGGATGGATGGATGGTGGATGGATGGATGGATGGATGGATGGATGACGGATGGATGGATGGTGGATGGATGGATGGATGGATGGATGATGGATGATGGATGGATGGATGATGGATGGATGATGGATGGATGGATGAATGGATGATGGATGGATGGATGACGGATGGATGGATGATGGATGGATGGATGGATGGATGGATGGATGGATGATGGATGATGGATGGATGGATGATGGATGGATGATGGATGATGGATGGATGATGGATGGATGGATGATGGATGGATGATGGATGGATGATGGATGGATGGATGATGGATGGATGGATGATGGATGGATGATGGATGGATGGATGATGGATGGATGATGGATGGATGGATGATGGATGGATGGATGATGGATGGATGATGGATGGATGGATGATGGATGATGGATGGATGATGGATGGATGGATGATGGATGGATGATGGATGGATGGATGATGGATGGATGATGGATGGATGATGGATGGATGGATGATGGATGGATGATGGATGGATGATGGATGGATGGATGATGGATGGATGATGGATGATGGATGGATGATGGATGGATGGATGGATGATGGATGGATGGATGGATGATGGATGGATGATGGATGGATGAGTCCTGCAGGATGTCCATCCATTAAAACATCTTCGGGGTGTCAGCAGCAGCAGGTGTTCAGATTAGCCATAGTCATGCTAGCCATCAGTGCTGCAGCAGTTGGTGATGATCAGCAGCCTTTCCTGGACTATTGTTATTGTTTTCATGTTTCTCTCTATTAATGACAGCAGATTTTCCACAACAAAAGGATTAAAAATTAAAATGTGAAAAAAACAAAGGAGATTATTGTTGTGTGTCGGTCAATCTTTTTGTTGTCATCTGTCTGACCGGGTCAACAACCGAATAGACTTGGTTCAGTTCTGGTTCTGTTCAGGTGACCGGATCCAGTGGAGAAGGATCTTCCATAAAATCAACCCTGAGCTTCAGACTGCCTTCAGTCAGAGGCTTCTTCTCACCTCCTGTGACTCAGACTGCTGCAGGAGAACCTTTCTGCCCACAGAATCTATAAGAGTTGCAACATTTAGTAATCATGTTTTTCTGAATAAAGAATCTGTGTCTCCTGAGGGCCAGAAAATTCAATTCTGACTTAAAATTTAAATTCTGAGAAAAAAGTCTGAATTTCTTCGCTTTATTATAAAATAATAATAAATGAATGAATCTGGCTAAAATGAGCTGCTGTATGAATCATGGCATCTTTATGAGTTTTGTTTTTTAAAGGAAACGGAAGAGCCACTGGACGAGTCACTACATCACTTCCTGTCCCGCTGTTCAGCCGCTTGCCAACCCGGAACTGACCGCGGCCCAGAATGGCGGATGTAGCCGCCGTCCGGAGCCAAGTGGTTCTGGTCGTGAACAGCCTGGGCCGAACCCTGCTGGCCCAGCTGAGGGAGGCGGAGCGTGGGAGCCGCGAGCGCCGCTCTCAGGTGAAGCTAACCGTGGCTAATAGCAACACTTCCGGCTCCAGCGGCGCCTGTCGGTGACGTCACGGTCCTTGTGTGCTGCACCGAGTTTAACTTTATTTATTATCAAGTAACAAAGCTAATAACAGCAACGCAGGACAATAGGATGTAAACTGTAGAAAACAAACTAGAATCTCTTCATAATCTAAATATTTACATAATCTAAATATTTTCATAGTCTAAATATTTTCATAGTCTAAATATTTTCTCTCATTCCGCTGCTGAGTCCATTTCATGTCGGTTACTTGCATTGAATCTGATTAACTGCGTCGCTTTACTCACGTTCCCAAAATCTAACGAATAAAATGATATTTTCTCATAAATGATGACACAAATTCACAGGACCTGAGAAATGTTTAGAAAAATAACAGTTTTCCTTCCAGCCTTATATTTACTAATTAAGCACAGAGTGAGAAGTTCCACTTCCTAAATCTAAAATCAGAAAAATGAAACCATATTGAATGTTTTAAGCCATTTTTCCAAAGCGCAACTGTAACACTTGCTTTATGTAGCGGTGCAATGCGAAAACGGCGCCCCCTGTCTGTGTGGCGGTTACATGCTGCTGGTCTCAGAGCCAGGCTGAAAGCTGCACCAGAGGCGAGTTTCATTCTTCACAGTAGAAGAGTGTTAGCAACACATAAAACATCATTTTTATTAACTTGGACAAATAGAGTAATGAATATTTACTAGATGTGTCTCTGGCACAATACTGTAAAACATATCATGTACACAGTTAAAACTAAGCCACCATAACGCTCTGTTGAAGGAGCTCAGGGAAGCTGAGTCGTTGCACTGATTCCAAGCCGATAGGAAATTAACCGCCAGAAACTCCTTGACTTCATTCCAGGGGTTTCTTGGTGCGGCGGCCCAGTGCCCCGGTGCGGCGGCGGCCCGGTGCCCCGGTGCCCCGGTGCGGCGGCGGCCCGGTGCCCCGGTGCCCCGGTGCCCCGGTGCGGCGGCGGCACCGGGGCACTCATGTCATTAATTAATCGGGACTTTTAACAAAAACGTTTCTTCCTGTTTCATTCATAAACATTTAACTTCATTCTTCTGACGAAATGCTTTGATGAGTTCAGTAATGAATGAGAAAAATCTAATTTCTAACCTTAAATCTAAGTAATTATTCTGAGGGCAGAGACAAGCACTGGATGGTTTTTGTTTGTTTTGATCTTGTTATTGATTTGAAGCGTTAATAACTGAGTCGTTGTGCTAAACAGTGTATTGCCAAATGCTTCGCTGGATCTTAAATCTAGAGCAGAGTCCTGGATTTATGGAAACTGAGCTATAAATAGAGCAGCTCAAAGATAATCCCCTGAACTTTGCAGCATCTCAGAGAGGAACGTCCAGGTGTGTGAAATCCAACCTGACGGGACGTTAATGGAGGCTGATAGTTGAATCTCTCAGTTCTGTTCAATCTGAGCAGAAACCTGAGCTAACATTTTATAATCATACACAGAGATGTTCTGATTATAAACATCCATTAGATGTTTATTAGGTTTGGGGATTAAACTGATAATCCCTGTTTTATTGCATCAGAGAGATTACCTGTCAGGATATACTCTACAAAGGCTTTGAACAACATCTCTAATACTTCCATAAAAACCTGCAGAATGCTGTTGTTTGTGGCCTGGTGATTATCTCCTTAGTGGCCCGACTCTCTCTGAACCGTCCTGCAGGTTTGTACCACGATCCCAGTAAACGGCTGGCAGAGCCTCCAGTCTGTCACTGGTTCACCTGGTGGACATTAGCTTCCTCAGTGAACTCGACGTCTTTGGATGGTTTGAATGAACTCCATTGGAGGAAAGCCAAACCATCGTTCCTCATTTTAAGTCAGCTGTAATTATTCCAGAGACCGACCGTCACGTCTTATAGACTTTCAGCCGCTGCTCTAACGTCCACCATGATGAAATGCTTCAAGAGGTGAAGGCCCCATCCACACTGCCTCCATCATCTGACCCAATCCGGTTTGGATAACAGCTCCACGGAGGACGCCACCCGCCGGGAACACCTTGGTACCGGCGCCGTCCAGATCCATCATCCTCTAGGACAGGGGTGTCAAACTCCAGTCCTGGAGGGACGCTGTCCTGCAGGTTTTTGATGTGTAACAGGTACAAAACACAGGAATGAAATGGCTTAATTACCTCCTCCTTTTGTAGATCGATTCTGCAGAGCCTTGCTAATGACCTATTATTCTATTCAGCTGGTGCAGCAGAGGCACATCTAAACGTTGCAGGACAGCGGCCCTCCAGGACTGGAGTTTGACACCCCTGGTCTAGGATCTGCTCACTGGTCCCACTGGGCCTCAACTGGTTGCTGGATTCCTCACTGACAGAGCTGAGGCCTCATGTCTCTGAACACCGGCGGTGGACTGGTGAACCACCGGCCCCAGAACATCGACTAGACCAAGGAGGTCACTGACCACGTCCAGCCGCACGCCACTCCTCAACAATAGATTGATCCTCCGATCGATTGTTCCTCTGCTCGATTGATCCTCTGCTCGATTGATGCTCTGATCGATTGATCCTCTGCTCGATTGATGCTTGGATCGATTGATTCTCTGATCGATTGATGCTCTGATCGATTGATGCTCTGATCGATTGATCCTCGGATCGATTGATGCTCTGATCGATTGATGCTCTGATCGATTGATGCTCTGATCGATTGATGCTCTGATCGATTGATCCTCTGATCGATTGACGCTCTGATCGATTGATGCTCTGATCGATTGATGCTCTGATTGATTGATCCTCTGCTCGATTGATGCTCTGATCGATTGACGCTCTGATCGATTGATGCTCTGATCGATTGATGCTCTGATCGATTGATGCTCTGATCGATTGATCCTCTGCTCGATTGATGCTCTGATCGATTGATGCTCTGATCGATTGATGCTCTGATCGATTGATGCTCTGATCGATTGATCCTCTGATCGATTGACGCTCTGATCGATTGATGCTCTGATTGATTGATCCTCTGCTCGATTGATGCTCTGATCGATTGACGCTCTGATCGATTGATGCTCTGATCGATTGATGCTCTGGTCGATTGATGCTCTGATCGATTGATGCTCTGGTCGATTGATGCTCTGGTCGATTGATGCTCTGATCGATTGATGCTCAGATCGATTGATCCTCGGATCGATTGATGCTCTGCTCGATTGATCCTCTGATCGATTGATCCTCTGATCGATTGATGCTCTGATCGATTGATCCTCGGATCGATTGATGCTCTGATCGATTGATGCTCTGATCGATTGATCCTCTGATCGATTGATCCTCGGATCGATTGATCCTCTGATCGATTGATCCTCTGATCGATTGATGCTCTGATCGATTGATCCTCTGATCGATTGATCCTCGGATCGATTGACGCTCTGATCGATTGATGCTCTGATCGATTGATGCTCTGATCGATTGATCCTCTGATCGATTGACGCTCTGATCGATTGATGCTCTGATCGATTGATCCTCTGCTCGATTGACACTCGGATCGATTGATGCTCTGATCGATTGATGCTCTGATCGATTGATGCTCTGGTCGATTGATGCTCTGATCGATTGATCCTCTGATCGATTGATCCTCTGATCGATTGACGCTCTGATCGATTGATGCTCTGATCGATTGATGCTCTGATCGATTGATGCTCTGATCGATTGATGCTCTGATCGATTGATCCTCGGATCGATTGATGCTCTGATCGATTGATGCTCTGATCGATTGATCCTCGGATCGATTGATGCTCTGATCGATTGATGCTCTGATCGATTGATGCTCTGATCGATTGATGCTCTTATCGATTGATGCTCTGATCGATTGACACTCGGATCGATTGATGCTCTGATCGATTGATGCTCTGATCGATTGATCCTCGGATCGATTGATGCTCTGATCGATTGATGCTCTGATCGATTGATCCTCGGATCGATTGATGCTCTGATCGATTGATCCTCTGCTCGATTGACACTCGGATCGATTGATGCTCTGATCGATTGATGCTCTGATCGATTGATCCTCGGATCGATTGATGCTCTGATCGATTGATGCTCTGATCGATTGATCCTCGGATCGATTGATGCTCTGATCGATTGATGCTCTGATCGATTGATGCTCTGATCGATTGATGCTCTTATCGATTGATGCTCTGATCGATTGATGCTCTGATCGATTGATGCTCTGCTCGATTGATGCTCTGATCGATTGATCCTCTGATCGTCCGTCTGGCAGGACGTTTCCTTCGTTGTTGAGCAGCCAGACTCAGAACCATTTTCCTCCCATCGACCTGCAGGTTGCTCAACATTCCCTCACTGTGACTGTCTGAAACTCAAAGTTATTTATATTATTATTTTATATTTTTGTATTTCTGGGCAGACTCGTAGTTTTTCTGGGGTTTTCCTTTGCGCTCCGATGGCGACATTTTGTCATTCTGTCGTGTCTTCGTGAAGCGTCGGAAGGTCCGGATCATTTCCTGGGCCAGCTGGCCTCAGACCATCAGGCTTCCTGGTTCTGGGTCCAGAATCAGATTATTAACCTGGATCTGGATCCTCCCGACTCCCCTGCATGATCCAAACGCACCAAAATAAAACACTTGATGGTCAGGAATGTTCTGCAGGTGATCGGAGACATGCAGTTAGTTTTCCTGAAGGGAACAGTCAGTAAATAATCTGGTAATAAACAAAACTTATCATTAAACATCTGGAGTCCTTTGGACCAAAGTTATTAAGAGGTTCTTTGGAGGATCGGCAGAATCCTGGTTCTGTTCCAGTTTGGGCCCAGTCACAAGAGACTGGTTCTTTCAGTCTGTGTGAAAGAGTGATGGAGGTTTACTGGTTTCCTCAGGAGGAACTGGGAGTGGCAGTGGACAGGCTGTGTCTGGAAGCTGCCGATCAAATCCTGAAGATCCTGGAAACCAGCATGACGAGGCAGGAAGAGGCTCCGCCCACACCGGCCGACACCCGTGGAGGCTTAATGAAGACCCAGACAGGTGCAGGTGAGTCTGCAGGACTAAGATTTTCAGAAGTTAAATCTGTTTACCACAGATTTAACATTTGAAAACGGTGATCTGATTTGCAATCAGCACAGGAAGAAACCCTCAGTCATCTGCAGAGAGACGAATATTTAGAACAGAGATGAAGGATTAGTTAGAGACACTGGGAGGAGCTTTAGACAGAACCCTGGGGAACACCGTCAGGACCAGCAAAACCAGTTAGTAGACCGATCCCAGGCCAGGATCATAAAACACAATCCAGGTGAGCAGAAGGTCCGTGTCTGCGTTTGGTGTGAACCAGGTGAAAATCGTTGTGTTTCTGAGTTTCAGGTGAGCAGGAGCCCGGCGCAGGCCACGCCTACTTCCTGTACGGAGTCAGTGACGGAGCGGCTGCAGAGCAAACGCTGACCATGTTTCCTTTTCTGAGCGCTGCTGGTGACAGCAGGCGCCTGCTGGTGGCGCTGCAGAGCGCTGGGGGTGAGTCTACCTGCTGCAGTGCGGAGGACGGAGCCCTGAGGAGCTCCTGGTGGGTCAGCTGCTGCAGCGCCCTCTGCTGCTCATCAGATGAACTGCGTCTGTGTTCAAGGTGGCAGCAGAAGCAGCGCGTCTCATCTCACAGGTGAGGAGTTGCAGGTGCGCCCCGCCTCTTCCCCTCCGACCGATGACCATGACTACGCCCGGCCCCCAGCGCCACCTGGCGGCGAGGCCAAACGCTGTGGGCGGAGGCCGGCTGCGACCACGGCGAGCGAGGAGCTTCACCTGCGGTGCTGGCGCTGCAGCAGGCTGTTCCCCAGCGCCGAGCGGCTGGCCGACCACCACAGGAAGTCCCACCCGCTGTGCTCGGTGTGCGGCGCGGCGTTCAGCGGCGTCCTGAAGCTCCGGGAACACCAGCTGAAGGAGCACGGCCTCCTGCCGTTCGCCTGCGGCTTCTGCCCCAAAAGCTTCAACCACAAGACGCACCGCGACCTGCACGTCAAGGCGCGACACACCGGCGACAAGAGCTGCCGCTGCGACATCTGCGGGAAGGGCTACTCCTGCGTCGGCGCGCTAAAGACGCACCGGGTGACGCACTTCAGCAAGACCTTGATGTGCGAAGTCTGCGGCAAGGCCTTCTACCACGCCTCCCACCTGACGCGACACACGCTGGTGCACCAGGAGCCGCGCCCATTCAGCTGCTCCACCTGCGGGCGGCGCTTCACGCAGGCCGGCAACCTGCGCAGCCACCAGGCCACGCACGCCGGAGAGAAGCAGCTCTGCTCCGTCTGCGGCAAGAGCTTCCGCTGCCTGAGGAACCACATGATCAGCCGACACGCCCAGGAGGCGGCGGCGGCCGGCCTGCTGCCGCCGGCCGTCACCTGCCAGGTCTGCGGGAAGAAGTTCCCCAACCCGTCGCAGCACCGGGCGCACCAGCGCAGCCACACGGGGGACAAGCCGTTCCACTGCGATGTGTGCGGGAGGAGCTACCGGCTGCAGCAGCTGCTGCAGGACCACCGCTACACCCACGGCGGGCAGAAGCCCTACAGCTGCTCCGCCTGCGCCCAGACCTTCAGCCGGGCCTCCAGCTTCCTGCGGCACCGCAGCATCCACGGCGGCCAGGCGCCGCACAGCTGCCAGCGCTGCGGGAAGCACTTCCGGCTGCGCAGCTTCCTCCGGGCTCACCTGCAGACCCAAGCTCACCTGAGGCGGATGCAGCAGAGCCTTTAATCCCAGATTAGCAGCTGGGATGGACGATCTGGACGGTTCGGTTCCTTCGTCTGCTTGACTGTAATCTGTCACTACACAGAAACACGGCCCTGAGGGACACCAGCTGGACGAGTTTCTGACCCGGTCCAGAGCCTGTTAATCCCAGCTGCCGGTTCTGGACCAGCTCTCTGCAGCAGAGCACTGGTTTGACTGGTTTCCAGTTGAGCAGCTTGAGGGAGTCCAGTAAATCCAGATGATGATGTGTAATCCAGCAGACCTGCGCTCAGATTAAGGAACGTGTCCAGGCGATAATCCCGCCTCGGTGTTTGAACCATAATCTGCGGTTTGTTTACGTTCCAGATGCTAATCAGAACCACAACATGTTTGTTTCATCGTTTGATCATCAGATTATCAGCTTCTGGGATCCGTCAGACACACTAGAGGTCAGAGGTCACGGGCTGTTTCTGCCACCGTTTCATTTATTAAAGTCGGTTTCAAAATAAATGGAGATTTTTCAGCAGCAACTTTACGTTATGTTGTCATAGCAACCTCATAAAGAACCTGTTACTTTGACTAGGACCTTCAATCCCATATTAAACAACCTTCTAAAGTTTCCTTCCTTCTGCTCCAGATTATTTTATTATCCAGACAGAAACCAGCAGCTCCATAATCTATAATCTATAATCTACAGCCATTAATAATATTAGTGTTTGTAGATTTAATATGGATCTATTACTGATATTTATCTATAATCAATAATAATCCAGGAAAATATTTCACATCTTCATAATTTTGCAACAGATTAAAAATCGGAACCAAACCGGAACCACCAGCTCCCATCTGGATCCAGGTCCGGTTCTGCTTCATCAGATGAAACCTTCTGGTCCAGTCTCTGATCCCGCCCGGACCAGAACCAGGATGGTGTCAGTCTAAGTTCGGCCCACTCCGACATGGAACCGGACTCTTCTGGGTCCTCCTGGACCGTCGCGGCTCGTCTGGACCGAACCGAACCGGTTCTGGGGCACCGCAGCCGCCAACAGGCTCCACTGGGCCGAACCGTTCTGGTTCCTGGATCCTCCGGTTCCTGGATCCTCTGGTTCCTAGGCGGGAAGCTGAACATGTCCGGTTCGGTCCGGTTTCTGAATCTTATGCTGTTGGTTCGGATCAGGAGTTAAAGGTCGGGTCAAGGATCAGTCGGTTCCGTTCTGACAACGGTAGAAAGGTTGAGGTTCGGTTCGGACTGGTTGATTAATAATAAGGTGACCAGAACCAGAACCATGTTTGGACCAGAGCATCAGAATGTTTTAGATTTCCTGCTGTGGGTTTGGGCCAATCAGAACCACCAAGCGGGTCCAGAACCAGCAGAGTCCCAACCTGTGGGGAGCGGGCCTCCCAGAGGCCGCAGGTGGAGATGAGACCGGTTCTGATCCGCAGCCACAGCAGGTTCCCGCCATGGAGGACAGGTTCTGGTTCTCCAGGACTGCTCCAGTCCAGTCCTCTGGTGGTTCTGGACCAGGACCCGGTACCAGGTCCAGATGGTTGTTAGATTTTTATCCTCTGCCTTGTTTGTGTGTCGGATTATAATCCAATTATAATCCAATAACGGCGGCGGGATGATTGGTTCCCACCAGGTCCGATACGGGATCAGCTCTCCGTTACATAAACGGGTTCTGCGGCGCTGCTGCGTGCCGGCCCGGCCCGGCCCGGCCCGCTGCCTCTAAATCCACTTCAGGATTAATGTTCAATCAGAATCCCGCCGGGTCGGGGTGATGATCCGCTCGGCGCCGCCGCGGCTCACACTGGGGAGGAGGTTCTGATTGGACCGGAGTACCATCCGAAGCTCTCTAGGGGGGAAGCTGATGTTCTCCAGAACCTTCAGAACCTTCAGAACCGGTCTCGCTCCTCAGGCTTCTTTAACTGTTTCCATGGTAACATCACCAGGCCTGCAGCGAGGAGCACAGCCGGGTTCTGATCCGGTTCCCTCCTGATCCGGTTCCCTCCTGATCCGGTTCCCCCTGATCCGGTTCCCTCCTGATCCGGTTCCCTCCTGATCCGGTTCCGTCCTGATCCGGTTCCGTCCTGATCCGGTTCCCTCCTGATCCGGTTCCGTCCTGATCCGGTTCCCTCCTGATCCGGTTCCCTCCTGATCCGGTTCCCTCCTGATCCGGTTCCGTCCTGATCCGGTTCCGTCCTGACCGGTTCCCTCCTGATCCGGTTCCGTCCTGATCCGGTTCCGTCCTGATCCGGTTCCCTCCTGATCCGGTTCCCTCCTGATCCGGTTCCGTCCTGATCCGGTTCCCTCTCTGTCCCTGGGAACCGCCTGGACGTCCATGTGGACGCTCATCCGGACCCGGTGGCTCTTATCTGGGACGGACCCGGCCGGCGCCGAGGTGAAGGACATCACACACCTGATACCTGCTGCAGCCATGGAGACGGTCGCAGCGTCTCGTGTCCATAAACCTGCAGCAGAGACACCGTGTCCAGGGTCCGGCTTCGTCCACAGAAAATCTCCACCAGTCCAGAAGATTTCTAATCTGAATCTCCTGGAAATGTTTCAGACCCAAAGCAGGAGATTCTGGTTGTAAATCTCACCATCATCTGCGTAGAGCAGCAGGTCAGCATAAAGATCTGGACCTGGAACCAAAACAAAGACAGAACTGACTGAAACAAACCCGTCTAACTCCCGACAGTACAACAGGAAGTGGTTTTCTGGTCCCGCTGCTTCGTCAACTTCCTGTAATTTAAATCTGGTTCCATCACGTTTCTCCCTCAGGAGCTTCTGGAGACGACCTGCCGCCTTGGCGTCGCCTCAACGCCAAAGGGATCCAGAAAGGTGACAGGTGTCCATCTACATGGCCAACGTTTTCTTCCACAGCTGGATGGCTATAGAACGAGATTTCAGAACCAAGAGACCAAATCCAGGAGAGTTGACCCGGTTAGTCCCAGAATCTGATCCCTTCTGAGTGAACAAACTGATGGTAAGAACCATGTGATCAAAATAAGCAATTAATGATGTCAGGAAGTCACGGCTTTGACAGTTGGGTGGTGGTGTGACGAGGGGGGCGTGGCTGTCACTGGTCTGAATGGGAGCCAAACTGGCTGGTTTTTCTATGAATGAGGAAACGGGTGCGCCGGGAGTGGTCATAATTATTGACTGTGCTATAATGTCGTTTTTATTGTTGGCACCATTGTATGGTTTGGCCGCCTGGTCAGCAGGTGTCAGACCTGTAAGTCTGAAGTTGTGACAGATAAAGTGGAATAAATCGATGATTGCAGTATCAAAGAAGCGGCCGGGAGTAAATTGAAGCACGTCTGACAGCTCAAAGTTCACCGAGTCAACCCAGTGAGGTCTTCTTCATCACCGTTTTGCCGCACAACTGATGATCCTCATAGCTTTACAGCAGGGGTCTCAAACTCCAGTCCTGGAGGGCCAGAGGGCCTGGAGTTTGTAGATGAGCCTCAGGTACAAAATGCTGGAATGAAATGGCTTAACTGCCTCCTCCTTGTGTAGATCAATTCTCCAGAACCTTAATGATCTATTATTTTATTGAGGTGCAGCAGAGACACATCTAAACGTTGCAGGACTTCGGCCCTCCAGGACTGGATGTTGACACCCCTGATTTACAGCATCTTCCAGGTCCAAAGGTTCTTCCTGAACCCAACCGCCTGAAAACAAACAGAACCTTCAGAAATCTGGATGTTCATTAACGAGTCTTTATTGACTCCTGGTCCAACCACAAACTGATCTAATTACCTTCATCCTGTCCAACTGCATCTTTAGGTGTCTCTAAATACTGGACATGTTTCCACAGCAGATCCTCATCAGAGCTGAAATTCTTTCCAATAAAACAAAAAGACCTGGTACCGGTTCCACAGCGTGGTGGTGGAGGGACGCTGCCCCCTGGTGGACACCTGGTGGCTAACTACATATTTTGTTAGCATGTTTATATCATAGCTGATATGAAGCCTGATCCAAACTGGCAACCCAAATTAATAAAATGATGAAATAATATTGAGGACAAAACATTGTTTTATAAAATATATCAACGTTTTCCTGCACAATCCCAACAAACGTTTCTAATGTTGAAAAAATAAACAGTTTTCTCATTATAATACTCATTAATTATGAATCTGTTTATTATCACACTTATACTTGAGATGTGTGTCATATGAGTGTCTATCAGACATTATAGCAATAATGAATAAAGCCTAGCTTATAGCTTAAGCTAGCCTAGCTTGACTCAGAAATGCTGACTAGAAAAAAATCCCCACATCGTTTTAGCGCCCCCTGTGGGCTGCATGCAGTACATCACCTTTTGCACCACTAACTGCAGATTCGCAGCATCACAGAACCAGTCAGAGGGACTTCCTCCCAGTTCTCCCAGTTTCTGATCTCAGAAGAACCTTCCTGCTGTCTCTGGAGGTCAGAGGTCATGGAGGTCCGTTAGCTCCTTCCACATCTGGTTCTGGTCCTGGAAGCCGACCCGACATTAAATCCTACTGATTGGAACGATGAGCAGCAGAACATCTGCAGCTCAGCGGACAATTAACAACCAAGCAACCCCACTGCCCCCTCCCCACTGCCCCCTCCCCACTGCCCCCTCCCCACTGCCCCCACCTCACTGCCCCTCCCCACTGCCCCCTCCTCACTGCCCCCTCCCCACTGCCCCCACCTCACTGCCCCCTCCCCACTGCCCCCTCCTCACTGCCCCCTCCCCACTGCCCCCACCTCACTGCCCCCTCCCCACTGCCCCCTCCTCACTGCCCCCTCCCCACTGCCCCTCCCCACTGCCCCCTCCTCACTGCCCCCTCCCCACTGCCCCCTCCTCACTGCCCCCTCCCCACTGCCCCCACCTCACTGCCCCCACCTCACTTAGCTTAAAAGATTCTTAGTTAGAGATTTTGCTGCCCCCTGCTGGTCATTCAGCGCAGCTTCAAGTCACACGGACCGAACTGAGAGGTTCTGATGGGTCCAGTTGGGCCCAGTTTAAGATTAACCTGAACTTTGATCCTCCGTCTAAATGGAAAGCTGCAAACGTTCAAGAGTTTAATTATTTCATAAAGATTAGAAATAAGTAACTTAACGGCTAATCAAATCCACAACAGATGATTTAAATAAATCAAAGAAGAAAAAGCATCAACTTGTCAGCCGTAAACCTAAACATCAAACCGAGTCTCCTGAAACAATTTGGATATTTTATGAATGTCTTTCAAAATAAACTCATACAAGACTTTTAACCTCCTGTGTGTGTGTGTGTGTGTGTGTGTGTGTGTGTGTGTGTGTGTGTGTTGACCTGCTCTGTCCTGTTGGCCTTCGTGGTTCTGAAGGACGATGTGACCTATGACCTCCCTGCCCCCTTCCTAGCCACACCCCTGTCAGCTGAAGGTTCTGACCCGATTCACAATCCTTCACCGGATTTTAGATTTAGACAAAGTGGGCTGAATAGCTCCTCCCATTGCACACTGACCCCGCCCACTCCGCGTTAGCCCCGCCCATTCCATCTCTCGTCTCTCAGGTGAAGCACCTGCCGGAAACTCGATCTGGGAAGATCAGGAGGCGGATCCTCCAGAAGGCGATGCGTGGACTCTGGACTGTCCGTCCGTCGTCAAGGAGA